AATCTCGCTATGGTATGAAAATACGCAGCCGTGAAGAGATTACAAAGATTATAACCACCAAAAATTTCAGTGCCCTCTCAAAAATGCATCATTTAATATCAGCAGCGAATGATCATCGATCGACGTTCACCTCTCATTTCATTCATAATCTATCATTATTCCGTTTCACAAATCATATTCTCTACACATTCAAGGTAAGATGTCTTCCATTCCAACGCTCACCTCACCTCAGCATTCGCCTCATCTCATAAATAGTTCTTTTCTCCTATACCCCACCGCCGAAATTTGACCTTTTTCGCTTTACTATATAATCAGTCTTAAATGAACAACTCATTTGCACAATTCGTCGGTATATGACTTTTGAGCTGTATTATCAAGAAGCTAATGTTAACAGGTTCACATAAATATTTCACGGCAGCAATTTGAGGATTGTTCTCAATCAAAGAAAGAGTTTTCAAAGAACGAACAATCAGTGCACAAATTCGATAAAGCACACACAATTCACTCTATTCCCATTCCCTAAACCGTTGTCAGACCTATTTATTTCGATTTCTTTTATGAAGGCAGCACGTAATCATCTCACTCTCCTTAGCAAGCATCCACATCAAATCTACTCATAACAAGACATTCAATGCATACATTTATTCCTCACACATATCAGGAATTTCCATTAGTTTCTTTAAATGATTGCGAATCAATTAAAAGACGATCAGTCAACTTCATAGGCGATATTGCCCTCAAATATGCCAATATTCATAATGTGATATGAACGTATATATCTAATGAATGTGGTGTGGTCTAGCGTCCATCTATGCATCGGTTGATTGATGATGACACGAAATAATTGAACAATCCCAATACAAACAACACAACCACAAATGCATTATTCACAAACTGACTGTATGTATGCACAGTTGCTTGCACTTTTATTTTCTAAGACCGCTTTAAGTGACTGTACGAAGATTTCGTAGTAGTTCGTTGGGGGCAACCAAGAACATTTGTGAAATCTACATTAAGTTAAGGTCTGCGACTATCAACGATTGAATAGAGTGAAACACAATCTTGGACTGACTAATGAAATTGATTATGCGAACTATTTGCGATCGTCCAATTGGTTTTGAATGCAAACAATACTAATTGTCATTCATATGCGTCACATACTTCACATCTAGTCAAGCAGAAACAATCACAAGAAATCAATTATTTCATCAATGTACAAATTAAAAACCCGGAAGTTACTGACAAATCGGTCATGAATAGTCAAATACCGAAATCTCTAACATGTTAATCTTCTCAAATATCCCGAATCAACGCAGGTTCACACAAATTCAAATTGGAACATTTTGGAAATTCCATTGAATGACTGAATTTCATTTTTAGAGCGTTTGAGAAATCAAACTTCGTTGGCAGAAAAAAGAAGAGACTAGTTATTATTATAAAAGTTTCGAAATTCTGTAAACAATAGAAATAGATGATGAATGTTGATGAACGTCCTTGTTTTTTAGTTTTTTTGTTTTTTTAGAATCGTCTGCATCGTTTGGAACGATGAAAATGATTGACGAAGTGTTAACTTTCACAACTGATGAATAACAAGTCCATGAATGATTTTTTCGCCGCAAACACACCAAAACTGAGACACTGAGAATCAATAAAGTTGATTCATGATTGTGTCATTCAACCAGGCAAATTGCGACAATCTATCAGCTGGAATGTTTAAAAATGACTGCAATGACACTCTGAATGCTGCTAATTCGATCACAACTCAACGCAACCATAATCAAAGTTCGTGCACCTACCTCATAGCAATGAATTGAATGAATTCACAGAAATTTTGATGCAAAAAAAACGATGAAAACTGCAATTGAAAAGAGACGATTACTAACCTCAGCATGTTTGTGGTTCGAACTGTATTCATTAACAGCTCGCTTCTTGAGTGCATTTTGATCCAACGCGTTCAGCTCCTTAAAAAACGATGAACGCTTAACATTCCCAACCAATTCACGCGTTGAAACAAAGCAGCCAANGAGGTCGAAGAATTTAAAATTCTACGTTGGTTAATCACGGCATTTTGTGTCAGCAATCCTAATTGCATTCAGTGAAAAGTGATATTTGCTAAATACAATCGTAAGAGCAAAAAAAGTCACTGCCTGAAGTTGTCATAATAAATAAAATGTGACGATGCATCACTTCGGTAATATGATACAACAATAATACTCAAAAAAGAAACAAATGAGAAACTCGCTGTAATTTGAGAACTAAAATGTGGATATTCCATAACCTAAAGAAACATTCGGTAATTTCAATATCACTGAGAATACACCGCGAATTCTTGTTTTGTTTTATGCCTTTGCAAAACAAAAACAAGAGTTGCTGGCGGAACTATCAAAAGAAAACGTTAAAAAATTTCGTTAATCTATTTTTAGAAAAAAAAAACAAATTGATGAATTCTTCCACCTTATTAACGAAAGGGCTGAACAATTCGAAAAAATTCATATGGAACTGAATGAGTTTATACGAATCCTTGCTTATAATTAAATGCGCTTTCTGTAACTGCACAACATTCTCCGAAATAATGTAGCTGATATTTGTGAATATGCACATTTGAACAGATCACTTGATTGGTGTAATTCGATAATTCAATTTGTTTACCAAAATTAAAATTTAACACTAAAACTATTTATTAATTGCACGATGCATTCCTTCATGTAACTATTCGCTCACTCAATCGAATGTTGTGCACCACATTCTGTCATTTCCCATGAAATATTTCCATCCATCAAATACCCATAATCATCGTTCATTCCAATGTCATCCATACACGTCCATGTATAATATTCTACATACCCATGTGTATGAAGAGAATGAAAATCTCCTCCATTTGAATTCTCTCAACAATTCAACCTGTTTCTTAATGACCTATCATCATCATCTATCTTTCTATTCATGATGATCGCATAAAATGAGCGTTAAATTAATTGATTAAAACAAATCGATACGCTTATTAAATTCCTTTCCGACTACAAAAACTGGTTTAATCGTTCACGGGATAATTCACAGTGTTTGGTTCAAATAACTACTTAAATTCTTAATGTTTGTGCGAAGCGCAACAACTTCATCGTCAAAGCTATTTGAATTGCACCGGAAATTCTCTAAAAATTCGTTTGAACCTAACTGATCAATGATAATCAGAAAAGTAGAACT